TCAAAATAGCGAAAGGGTTTGCTCGCCGAACGAGGATTGTTGCAGTCAATTAGCACCCCACTGCCAAACACATAACGATTTGCCAGCTAGGCATTGCTTAAAGTTAGTGGGAGTTGGGTTGATCGAAATAACTAGACTACGGTGTGACAGCTGTTTTTACGGTACTTCGTCCACCATGGACACGACTACCGAACAAGTTGCAAAGGACTAACTGCTGCTTCCTATTAGATGTTTCGAAGCTTTGGGACTAAGCGTCTTGGTGCCTAGCACTTATAATTCAAGCCCAGTTTTTTGAGAACTTGGCTGGCAGTCTCAGCTGCGCAGCAAAGGTATTCACCCAACTTCGCGATCTGGCCATTCAGCAGAATTTCAAGGCAGATGATCAAGAAGGCTCAGACAAGGCCTTCAAGCTACATTTTGCCCTTCAGGATGTTCCAATGTGTCGTGGTGCATTTGCGCGCCTGCACTTGATGGGCGTGAGCCCACGACTTACATCTCTGCAGAAGAATGTGATGCAAGGCAAACGTCTCCCCGACGTTGATGTCCGCTACTTGAAAAAAAGCAAGGGTAAGCAGCGGAGCAGCAAGAGTGGAGAGGTATTTTCCTATCTTCAATCGCTTTACGAGTCCGTCGCGGAGACTTTACCTGAAAACGACAACACGAGGGAGGACTTCGACGACTCAGACAAGGAGGAAGTCAAGCAGAGCAACGATATCATATTACTTCACAGCAAACCTGACAGCTCGGATCCCTTGACGCAAGAAGACCGTGTTCGTTACTTGCCTCCCGGTTCCATGTTCGAAACTTACAAGCAATATCTTGCCTTGAAGAACACCTACTGCTGCTTCACGACCTTCGTTGCAATTTGGAGGGACCACTTCAGTCACATGCTGTTCCGGCAAAGTCAGCAACACGCTGTGTGTGCCGTGTGCACGCAGCACAAACTTCTGATCAAGTGCCTGTCGCACAACTTGAAGGCTCAAAACAAGCAGCGCTGTCTCTACGAGCGACATCTTGCAGCACAGTATGAAGACCGCCAGCTCTATTGGCGGGTTCGGGGTAGATCCAGGAGCGGCCCCGACTCTCAGACGCTGAGTCTCATCATCGACAGCGTGGATCAGCAGAAGTGCTCGTGGCCGCGAGCTCGGGCGTTCAAGTCCAAACAATTCGACGCCTTTCAAAGGCCGCGTTTGCATGTCACGGCCTGCCTAGCCCACGGCTATTCTGCTCTGATCTTCCTGTCCCACTCCGATGTCTCGCAGTGCGGCTCAACCACTGTTGAGGAGATACTTGGGGGTGGTGTTTTCCGTTGATATTCGGCTGCTACGTTAATGGTATGAATTTACATACGAAAACGTGAGCACACACACTCCCAGCCACCTTTAGAGTTTTACTGTGTATGGGGATTTGTAGATAAGACACACATTGACTGACAGATGCATTACCCTACGCACCTACGCCTACACTTCGGATGCGTAATGTACAACACCTGCAGGAAATCAGCCATACTTTGACCATTCTACGGGAGAACGACGTGCCGCTCCACACGATGAACGTGCATCTCCAAATGGACAACGCTTCTTCTACCAACAAGAATTCGACTGTAATGACATTCATATCGACGCTGGTGCAAGTGGGCACCATAGCTTCTGGAACGGTCAGCTTTCTGAGAGTGGGTCATACCCACGAAGAGACTTGGCGAGTTTAGACGACATGATGCTGTTACGCTAGGCCACGGGGTTTTGGACTGCAAGCTTTCATTTAATAAGGATATTGATGGCCTGTTTGGCGAGATGACAACCTTCATACGAAAGAGGCTGCATTATGCAGAAACCATTGAGGATTTCCGCGTTGTCTTGCAAGACTTTCTGGATCTTGGGACACGCCCTCATGAAAGGATCCGGAAAGCCGTAATTCTGGACCAACAAAGAGATTGGAAAACACACTTCGAATACCTATGCTTAAGCATGCAGGGCCACACGGGTCCCAAAGCACCCCGAGTGTTCGAGTTTCGCCAACGTCGAGGCCGGGCATATTCAGAATCAGGATTAACTATTCTGCAAAGAATCGGCATTGGTTGTTCTGCTCTCATCAAATGACTCTCCGGGGCCGGGAAGTGTTCGGCCAGGGTTTTGGGTCGGCTTAAAATTTATGAGTTCTTCTGGACAACACTTACAATTTGGGCTGATTGTCATTCTGTGAGGCCTTCCGGAGACACACGCGCTGCGGAAGCAAGGCTCAGCGACAGACGTGATCCTAAGGCCGCCTCTCTTGACGACAATAATCTTTGAATTTGGGCAGTGGCTTAAGGTTTCAAGGTTCAGGGTTACGGTTCAGGGCGTGGGGCTTCAGGGTTTAGGTGTTTAGGGGGGCAGCATTTAGGTGAGGGTTTCAGGGGTTAGGTACTCAGAGGTTGAAAGGTTTAGTGTTGGGAATTTCTGGGTTCAGAGTTTCAGAAATTGACAACTTCAGCTCGCTGCTAACAAGTCGCGAGTCACATAAAACCCCAAATCCTAGTAAGCCAATAACTGCAAACCCTAACCTCTAAGTTCGAGACTTTTAAGAAACGTGATAAACCCTAACCCCCCAGTCCTAAGCTTAACTTCAAGCCCAGCCGGTATCCCAGACTTTCAAGCAGCTCGCACACAGAGCAGCACCACACGCATCGGGAGCCACGATCCAGCGGTCGCCTCACGAACACCAATCGCCGATTCAATCAACTCACTATTATAAGCTCTTCTCG